GATCTGGGGTCCAGTCTGAGTCAGCACTAGCAAGAAAGACACTCCTGGGTGTCTTTCTTGAAGTCTCCACATTGGGCACTTTGCCCTTTGCCTGAGCCTCTGTATCTCTGATATTGACTACATGCTCTTTCCAGCCTGGGACTCCTCTGGCCAAGCTGTCGGATCTGTCACTCAGTACTGTCAGACCCCGTTTTGACTTTGTAGTAGCCTGTCAGTAGAAAGAGAACCCAGGGGCCAAGTGGCCCACATCCTCTTATTCCTTTTCACTGGGTACAGCGTTGAGCCTGTGTGGGTTTCATGAGGTCAGGCCCCGGGCATGGCAGGAGAGATGCCACTGTGTCCTTTTAGTGTGGCTGCAGACGGCCCTGGTGTGGCCCTCCGCGTTCACACTGTCCCTTAGGACCCTTGTTGAGAGAGAGTGAAGCTGTGAGGCCTCCCTGTGGTGCCACCCTGGAAAGCCGTGCAGAGAGAAGGCTTCTCGGGCCACTGTTCTGTGCCCACCTGTTACCTGCCTTCCCTTTGGAGGTGTGGCACAGTTTCTTCTCCCTGGGTCACTGATGACCTCCTCTCCTCCACAGATCACAGTGTGCTGGGCTTACCTGCTACCCTGTGGTGGATTCCTGGACAGTCCTCCCAGCGTTGAGCCTTGTGCTGTCTGTCTAAGGGCTGTGCTTGCTTCTCGTGCCTCATCAGCATTGCAAGGGCACCGTGAACACCACAAGAACAGGCGTGTGCCTAGTTCCAAACTGAGGGACATGTCTGTTGTGTAGCTAATCTAGGTGAACAATTTTTTTTTTCTAAGGCAGTTTTTTCTGTCCTGGAACTTGCTCTGTAGACCAGACTGGCTTCACAGAGATCCGCCTGCATCTGCCTCCCAAGTACTGGGATTAAAGTTGTGGGTCTCCCCCCCCACCCACCGGCCCTAAGTGGACATTTTATCTATTCACTTTTCTGTCCTTCCATCCACGCTTTTGTCTACCCACCCACCTTTCTACCCCTCACCTCCTCACCCATCCATCCATCCACCCACCCATCCATCCATCCGCTCATCCATTCACACACCCATCCACCCATCCATCCACCCATCTATCTACTTGCCCATCTCCTCCTCCTGCCCTCTTCCTAGCAGCAGTGCTGAGTCCACACCAGGGCCTGCACTTCCCATGGAGAGTCCCTCAGTTGTCAGCTCCTTTGACAAACTTTCTCTGCTGACAATAGGATCCACCCTGTGCACTGAGAACCCCCAGAGGAGTTGTGTTTTCCGTGTTTGTCTTGGGGCTCACAGTTCTAGCTTTTGTGCAAGTTCTGTGGTCATGTCTCCTGTGTTGGCCATGCTATTCCCTTGAAATAAAGTCATTTCTTGGGCTTCCTCTTGCCTTCATGGTTTCTGCTTGCTGATGCCCTTGGAATGTGGAAGATGAACGAAGTCCAGTGTTGGGTCTGTTGGAAAGACGCCTGGTGCAGGTGTCACTGCCCTGCCCAACGCCTCTACAGCTCTTTCTCCAGTTATCAGAGGCTCAGGCTCCTGAACTTCCTGCCCCTGCTGTCAGCATCTGGGCGTGGAGCCCTCAGGCCAGCTTCTTGTGCCTCACTGCAGACAGTTGTGTCCTCTGCCTAGCCTGTGTCCCCAGTGTCTGCAGTGCCATCTTCCTGTTGGTTTTTGCTGTTCACTCATTTTCTAGGGGAGTTTTGACCTTTCCTTCAACTTTCATTTAGTTCTTAAAAATTGCATTTCTTTATTTCTTTACTTACCCTGTGTGTGTGCCCAAGGGTGGCCCTCTCCAGTGTGTGTGGAGAGCTCAGGGGACAGGTTGCAGGAGTTGGTCTCCCCTCCCACCAGTCAGGGTGCTAGACTTGACAGCAAGGACCTTTACCTTCTGAACTGTCTCACACTCACCTTTTATTGATTTATTTACTTTATAATTTTTAAATTTTAATATCTAATCAGTGTGTGTGTGTGTGTGTGTACAGTGCCTGAGGAGACCAGAGAGTGTGTCAGGTTCCCCAGGACTGGAGCTACAGGAGACATCTGATATGGGTGCTGGGACAAAGGCACATCTGGAAGAACAGCCAGTGTGCTTAGCCACTGAGCCCCTCGCTAGCCCTTCAACTTTTATTTACTTTAATTTCTCTTTCTTTCTTTTGTTCTTGTTTTTTTTCCTTTTTTTTTTTTGACAAGGTTTCAGGGTGTAGCCCTGGCTCAGGCTGAGCTTGAATTCACAGCGATCCTTCTGCATCTGAGTGCTGAGTTTAAAGGTGTGCATCATGCCTGACAGTTTTAAAAAAATTTAAATTTCATTTTTGCTGTTTTTTGAGACAGGGTCTGGTTATGTAGCCCAGGCTGGCCTCAAACTCATAAATCCCCTGCCTCAGACCATGAAAACTGGGATGACAGGCATACATCATACCGAGTTACACCCCAGTCCACTTACAGTCTATCTTCTGTTGCTATAACAATTTTTGGGGCCCAGTGCGATTGATTTAAAGAGAAAAGGCAATTCTGGGTTGGCAAGAGGGCTCAGTGGGTAAGGTGCTTGCTGCCAAGCCTGGCTGTGTGATGGCAGGGACCAACATTTGCAGGTGTCCTCTGCCCGCCACACCCATGTGACGACACATGCATTCACAGCAGCTCACCTTCATTCACTCCGCTAAGACATCTGTCCTCATAGTCTGCCTGGTTTCCTGTCTCCTCAAGCCTCTGTGTGACTTCAGTGGCTTGTGCATTTCTCATTGTGCCCAGGTAGCAGATGCTTATTATAGACCACAACAGAAACATCAGAATTCAAGGTGGGTGGGGTAAGGGACAGACAGATGGCTTCTGTCCTTCTGGAAGGTAGTGAGTGTGCTGTTGGGTACTCAGGGCCTTGGATTTGTGTTCTTGAGTTCTCCTGCGGAAGGTGGAGAGGCCCATTGGCATCATCCTGTGCCAGGTCTTTACCTTTGGCAGAAGCCAGTGACCCAACTGTTCCTGCCGTCTGCAACCACCCTGTTGTCTGAGGCTCTGGCCTCACATCCATCCTCTCTTGGCTTTAAGCCCTGAACCTTGGGATTCTGGGAGTCCTCACTGCCCACCTTCCAGGCCCTGCCTGTGCCCTGGTCTCCAGGCACGTCTGTCTCTGGTGATGACAGGTTGGAATGGTGTGGCCAAGGGTCCTGCTGCCTGGGACAAGCAGGGTGCAGAGTGCAGCTTTCTCCTGTCTTCCTGGCACTGTGGGCCAGCCCTGCCTTGTCCCCCTATTGGATAATATCCTTACCATGCCCTGGGCCAGCCTCCGCGTCTCCCCGCCATGCCTCCTGCCCTCCCACTCCTGCTGCCTTGGAGCAGGTGGTGGGTGCCCAAGTTCTTTATCTGTGACCTGTCCCTGGTTATCTCTGTGTTGACCTGTCCTGATGGTGAGTGGGTACCGAGAAGGAAGTCTGCAAAGGAATTCCTAGTGTCACCCTTTTGTAGGAGCTCTATAGAGATTCCCAGGACTGTGCCTGACTCTAGTGACATCCCAAGGAAACTGAGGACAGATAACCTCTCCTGATGCACCCAAAGCTCCCTGGGGGTGCAGAGCCTGGCTCCAGCCACTCAGGGAACCTCTTTCTGTGGCAGTCCATCCTGCCTGGGTTGCCATCTTGGGAACTTTAGGAAGGAGTTTGGAATCAGGTAGGTGTGGGCTCCAGGACTCTTGTCATGATTGGCTGCTACCTACTGAGGTGACAACTTTCTGTTTGGCCCTTGGTCTCTCTGGTGATCGGCTTGGGCTGGGCAGATGTGAGCGCCCTAATGTATGGAGTCAGGGCCTCTGTGCTGTGGCAGAGTCATAGCTGCAGACCTGTTGGGAGAATTTCTTTCTAGGGGACACTAGAGAACGCTAGGACAATTTCATTGCTCTAGGCAATGTCTGCCCCTCACAGTTAGGCCAACTGACAAACCAGAGTCATTCCCTCCCCCCAACCAATGACTGTATTGGGCTTACTTTTAATTTTTACTTTATTGTGTTTATAATTGTATTACCACTATGTATTACCTATGTACGGTTATTTTGTCTGCCTGTATGTCCATGTATATATATGTGCCTGGGGCCCTGGAGTGTCAGATTCCTAGGAATAGGAGTTCCAGATGGTTGTGAGCCACTGTGAGGGTGCTGGGAATCAGACACCCACAATGGACTGGCCCCCCCACTGATCACTAAATGAGAAAATGTTGTAGGAGACTGCTTGTTTGTTTCCCAGCCACCCAGACTCCCAAAATAACCACACAGAAACTGTTTTATTTAAATCACTGCTTAGTCAGTCACTTAAGCTTACTGCTAGCTAGCTCTTACATCTAGAATTAACCCATTTCTAGTATTTTATATTTTACCACAAGGCTCATGACCTACTGGCAAGGTTCCAGTGTATCTGTCTCCAGCGGCAGTTCCATGGCTTCTCTTTGCTCTGCCTTCTTTCTCCCAGCATTCAGTTTAGTTTTCCCCGCTTACTCTACCCTATCAGGCCAAGCCAGTTTCTTTATTCATTAACCAATAAAAACAACACATAAACAGAAGGACCTCCCACACCAAGAAAATGCTTTACAACTGAATTTCATGAACACATTTTATCATTTGAGGCTCCTTTCTCTGAGGACTCTAGCTTGTGCCAGGTTGATGTGAAACTAGTCAGCACAAAGGTGAGCTCTTTGTATAATCTGGATATTGGCCCCTTGTCCTTGTTGAGTGGTGAAGACTCTATACGTCTGCATGCTGATCTTCTTAGACCTGTGGCTCTCAGGTGTTTCCCAGATTGTCTCTTCATCACAACCTTGAGTTCAGAGCCCAGTGTATGTTTTCTCTTACTCCTTGTCTAAACACCACCTGCTTCAAGGCCATAAATATTTGTATTATAGAAATTTGATGTTTGATTTTTAAAATTTGGTCTGAAGCCACTTAGAATAAACTTTGCGTGTGGTATAAAGGACAGGACTAGCAGGGATGCCCCATGCAGTTTAGTCAGCAGCTTTTATTTGTACCTTGCAGGACACTGCTGTTCCTGGAGGTGCCTGACAGAAAGCAAACTGCTTCCTTGAGCCCAAGTCATTTGGCCAGCTCAGCCCCCTGGAACTTCCTGGAACCCCCAGGTAAGTGCAGCAGCCAGGCCCCAGGTGGACAGCCTGAGTGTGGGTCCATGGGTCCTGAGATTGGGCCATGCTAAGACCTAGTGGTTGTGGCTGGAGTCCGTGCACCTGTCCAGCAGTAACTCAGGCTTCTTTTAGTACCAAGGATTCCACAGTGAGGCCTTGCCTAGTGATGGTGCTTGGGACAGACAGGGCTTAGCAGGTCCTGTGGGCTCCTGTGAGGAGCATCCTCTCGGGCCCACCGACAAGAATGGTTTGCAGTCTATTCAGAGTGGTGGCGCCATCACTGCTGTCAAGTTCCAGAACATCCATCCCCTCTCCCCAGCCCCTAGCACCCACAAATCCTCTTCCCTTGTGGATTGATCCATTTTGGAAGTTCCCTGTCGTAGAGTCCCACACTGAGAGATGTCTCAGCTGTGGTGAAACACCGTGGCCACAGTGAGTTGGCGAGGGAAGGGTTTCTTTGGCTCACACTTCCCGCTAACAGTCCATCATTGAAGGAAGTCAGGGCAGGAACCTGGAGGCAGGAGCCGGTGCAGAGGCCATGCTCACTGGCTTGCTCCTCATGGCTTACTCAGCCTGCTTTCTTATAGAACCCAGGACTAGCTGTCCAGGGATGGCACCTCCCACAGTGGGCTGGGTCTTCCCTATCAATCACTTGTCTCCAGCTAGAGCTGATGGAGACATTTTTAACTGAGGCTCCCTGCTTTCCAGTGACTCAAGCTTGTATCAAGTGGATGTAAAACTCGTCAGCGTTGAGTGGCTTTGGGTTCTGGGTCTCTCACTGGAGCTGATCCTGAGGCCCCTCCACACTGTGTGTGTGAGTCTCAGTCTTGTTCAGGACTGTGTGGTGTCCAGTGTATGGCTGGACCGCTCTTTCCCCATCGTCTGTGCTGGCGGCTGTGTGGAGCATGAAGTCACTCCTTAGACTTATGTTGGACTCTGGTTTGTGGTGGCAGTGGCTTTGGGCTGTGGTACTTTGGGTAAGAATGGCCCTTCTTGTTCCTACCCCACCCCTGCAGGACTGCCAGGGAGGTCCTTCTGTCCCAGCATGTGGGCTCCTTGTGCTCAGGGGTGGCATAGCTAGGTGAGCGAGAGAAGTGGGGCAGACAGTTCTAGGGGCAGATTGTTTGTTCTCACCTTGCCTGGGCCCTGAGCAGCTGGGACCTATCAGGAAACTCACTTTCTCCTGTTGTGTGACCTCTGGAGCTGTGGGGCACCCCAACATGAGTCTAGCCACACTCCTGAACCATCTCAGGAAGTCATGGCAATCTCCCTGCTGGGGGCTGAACTTAGGATGTGGAGCCTCTGGAACTCACCAGAGAGTTTGGGGTGTCACTAGACCTTCAGCAGTAGGGACGTTCAAGAGCAAGAGGGGTTGGAAAGGTACCCCACCCCCGACACCTGGGGGACTGGCGCCTTCAGTGCCACTGGGAGGAACACGCCAGCCTCCTGTGCTCCTCTCTGCTTACAAAGGATGATGACCAGGTCACGGGGTCTGTGCTGTCCTGGCCTCATGGTATCGGCCTGTTGCTGTGTGCCCAGGGGCTCAGCATAAGGTCCCTGGAGCCCAGTCCCTATCTTCGTAGTCCTGCCCTGAGGACTCTGTCCTAGGGCTTGAGTGAAGTGGGGCCTGGCCTGGCCACAGCGTCCTGCTGAGCCCTCTGTGTACAGACCTTGCTCCACAGCCAGCCTGGCCTGGAGCTCTGGTCTCGACACATGTCCCTGGATAGTGGGGAACAACTCCTGGATCTCAGTGGACCACTCCCTCTGAGCTCTGGTTTAACTGGCAGGAGGTGGAGAGGGCACTTTGTGGGCAGTAAGGAGCTGTTGCCACTAGGTGGAGCCAGGGCACTTGCTGTTTGGCAGCTGGCTTGTAGCGGCTGGGTGTCTGCCCATCGCCATCCCCACCCCACCCTGGACACACTCTGAGGCTAGTAGGTTTCAAGCTCACTAACCACAGCTCCCTGCTCTAGGCTACTAGGTTACTAGTTTACTACCTCTGCCTAGGCTATCAGGCTACTAGTACTAGCTCGGCTACTAGGCAACTTGTTCCCAACCACTAGGCTACTAGCTCTGCCTAGTTCAGACTTCTCAGGACAGGTGGCACCTGGAACATTGATTGTGCTGGACCCATCATGGGTGATGGACACATTTGTGTTCTGGGGTCTTGGGATCCCCATCTCTGTGTGCACCACCACCAGCTTTTGTAGGTTGTAACTATAGACATGGCCACTGCCGTGTGGGGATCCTCAGATGATGCCCTAGTCCGTGGTGCATTTGTGTTGTAGCAAGTGAGCTGTTTGGCATTGGCTGGCTCTTCTGGGGACCCTGGGGCACTCCACTTGCCAGTTGGTCCAGCTTTTGGTGGCATTTGAGCCCTCAGCTCCCTGCTTCCCTTGTGATGACACTGCCCAGGTAGCTCTGGCTGATCCCTGTCTTTGTCCCTCCTCCCATCTTAAGAGTCCTTTTCTTTGTATACTGTCCCAGCTGCAGGATTGGCTTCCTCTAGGAGTGACATTCCGTACCCCTAGTCCTGGTCCACACCTCGGCTGTGCATCTTCACTATAGCCCAAGGGAACAACTGTAGCCCTGGGCCCTGCTGATATCTGCAACTGGGACCTTCAAGATAAATGTCCCTACTGCTAAGCCTGACAGCCTGAGTTCAGTCCCCGGGTCACACATGGTGGAAGGGGACCACTGGCTCCTGCACACATGTTTACACAGCACTGCCTGCTGTGACCCTGCCCTGCCTCCCACCTTCATTCTGTGTGCTGCGCTGTTCCCACAACCCTCAGGTCCCACGTCCATCCCAGTTGCCCATACAGAGCTCTGGTGACAATGACAACCTGGGCTTTGCTGGCCATAGAGGCCTTGAGCAAGAGACAGGCAGGAGCGAGGATGGCTGGGTGCTGCTCCAGCCAAGGTGGACGTGCTCCCTGAGAACGAGACGTGTGTGAGAGGGGGATGGTGAGTGGGTGTGCGGAGTGTGGGGAGTCAGACCCTGGGGCCACCCTATGGGCTGGGAGCCATGGAGGAGGAACCGTGGTGTCCTCATGTCCTCCAGAAGGCACACTGTGCTCCACCATTAAACACGGCCTGCTGGGCGGCCGAGGTGGACTGTACTCAGGGCTGAACTCATCTAGTGGTCACTGCGCTCCATGCTCCTCCCACCTGCTCTCCTGAACATGGAGACTGCTGACTCCTAGGCTGCGAGGTCCCCGAGGACATGGTGTTCCTTCTACACCATCTCTCCGGCTCTCACCTCTGCATGTGGGAGGGCTGTCAGGTGAATATATAGATCCTGGGCTCAGCATCTGGTGTAGGTCTGGTGGGGACAGTGGCGGCTCTGAGACCTGGGGTGCATCAGATCTCCAGCAGAGTAGTTTCTAGTCTGTGGCTAGGGCCCGTCCATAGTGCCCTGGAGGACAGTGTCCGAAGGCCCCTCTTGGTAAACCATGTCCTGTCTCATGGCACTGTGTCTCTGAGGGCTGTGTCAAGTAGACATAGGCAGTAGAGTCTCAGGACGCCCAGGTGATGCCCATTAGGGCAGTGGCTTTTGGGTGCCTGGTCACCAACCCCTTAATTCTGTGCACTCTACTCCTGGGCATGTGCTGCCACCTGGTGGCCAACCTGGGAAGTGAGTGGGAGCTGGGGCTGGTGTGTGTGTGTGTGTGTGTGTGTGTGTGTGTGTGTGTTGGGGGGGATCATCAGGAGGAAGGGACACTCCCTTCCTGGAGTCTGGGCTGCAGGCTATGTGGTCTCCCAGTGAGGAGAGGTCGCTAACTAAGAAGACCAGCTATGCTGCCTCCCTACAGCATAGATGCCCCAGCATCTGACATCCCTTCTGTGCTGGCACATGGGCAGGTCGGTGCTGGCCATGGCTTGAGCTGACTCAGATGGGTTGATTTGCCCTCCTGACCCAGGCCTCCTTGAATAGCTTGATGGATTCCAGGCTGCAAATGCTTGGGCGCTGTGCGCAAGTGAGACACTCTCAAACTAGCCCAGGGTGGTCTCGTGTTCACAGGGCTCCTGGTGGTTGCGGTGACCACAAAGCCACAAGGTCCACATGGGAAGAAGGCCCCTGCTGACAACAGTGCTGGGTTCTGATGGCCTCTGGCTAGAAGGTGCATTTGGTACCTGTCAGCTCTGGAGGGAGGTACCTGTGCATTTAGTCAGCTGGTGCCACCTTGGCCCTCGGGCTGGTGTGAGTGATGGAGTCTTGTGGCTTGCTGGCGTACCCCGGTTGCCTGCTGTTGCCCTCCTGCTGCTGCGGGTATTTTTGTTGTCTTGAGGGGAACATCGTGGTGGTGTTGGTGGGCTTTGCTGATGGCAGGGCTGTGCTGACCGCTCTTCTCCTCTCACAGGTGTGGTTCTTCAGTGGAGCAGCCATGGGGTCTGAGGACCACAGCGCCCAGAACCCCAGCTGCAAAATCATGACCTTCCGCCCCACCATGGACGAGTTCAGGGACTTCAACAGATACGTGGCCTACATTGAGTCGCAAGGTGCCCACCGTGCAGGCCTGGCCAAGGTGGGTCATGCTGCTCCAGCTTCCTCCTCAGACTCGCAGAGGCACTGGGTTCTGTGAGGGGGCCTGGACCAAATCAGGGCACTTGTGTCCATAGCCTTAAGGAGCATCCCTGTCTGGGTGCTACGCCAGGCCGAGGATGGGAGGGGACCCGATGCCTAGAAACAGTGGTGCCTGCAGACACCTTGAATTCCTGATTAAGTGGCAGTAATCCAGAGCGAGTAGAGAGAGATGTGTGTGTGTGTGTGTGTGTGTGTGTGTGTGTGTGCGCGCGCGCTTGCATGTAGGCACAAGGCCTTGTATAGCAGAGTATGCTTGATACCTACAGAAAGGTGTTGGGGCCACCCTGGCATCTTTTTTTTTTCTTTTTTTAAAAAAAATGGCTGGGCAGTGGTGGCACATGACTTTAATCCCAGCATGTAGAAGGCAGAGGCAGGCATATCTCTGTGAGTTTGAGGCCAGCCTGATCTACAGAACCAGTTCCAGGACAGCCAGGGCAACACAGAAAAACCGTGTCTTGAAAAAAACAAAACAAACTGTGTGTGTGTGTGGGGGGGTGCACACATGTGTGTGGTGCATGTTGGCGCCAGAAGGGGGCATGGGCCCACAGCAGTCAGGAGCCTCCTGAATGGGGTGCTGGGCTCTGAACGCTGAGCCAGCTCTCTGCTTCTCACTTCATTTCTGCTTTTCCTTAGCACTGGGGTCTGCCTAGGTCTTGCATGTGCTGGGGAATGGGTCTCCTGGGCCCCTCATGTGCAAGGTAAACAGCAGACCAGCCTCAGGACTTCGTCTGAGACCGCCCGGGGCTCACTGACCCTCCCAGGTGCTCGGAGGGCAGGCCAGCACCTCACCTGGAGCAGTGGCTGGTGGGTCCCCACATGGCCACCATGGTTCTCTGGAGTCTAGCTAGCACTTCAGAGTGCCAGAGACAGTTCAGAAATCGCACAGGTGTCAGGTGGCAATAGAACTCAATTCCCAGGCAGACTAAGGGGTTGTATAGGTAACTGTGCCACCAAACCCAAGGTTGTCCCTCCGCCCACCCCCATCCTGGCACTGTGGACATGGAGTTGGCTGGTTCTCTGGGGAATGTCCTGGGTGCTACAGCATTCTAAACAGTGTCCCCATCCACTGAGAGCAGGGTGCCCTCTGTGTGTGTCAGCCACAGGCATCCCTAGACGTGAGCCTGCAGTCCTCCCTGCACGCAGCATGGGAATGGGAGTAACTGCTTCTGTGCTTGTTTCTGGGGACAGCAGGTGACTCAAGCCTTCTGAACCTGTCAGCTTGGGGTCACCAGTCCTGTGCCAGTGGTCAGAATGGAGAGTGAAGCTGTAAGGCTTGGCACAGCAACTCTGAGAGCCGCAGGCTTGTGCCCTCCACTTCCCCACAAGGAGGGCTGGCACAGTTCTGACTCTGCCCATCTTTGAAGTGATAGTGCCACCTTCCTGTCCTCATCTGGCTCCTCCAAGTATGGCTTCTGCCCTAGCTTGTGTCTCTAAGTGCCATTCCCCCATCCTAGTGCTGGGGGCTGGGTTTATGATCCCTTGTGCCTCAGTTTCCTAAGAGCAGCCACTTGCCCCCTGGCATTGTTGCCATATCCATCTTTGTGGAGCTCCTGACCTCCAGCATCCACTCCCTGTCTACTTAGGACCCCAGGCGCTGGTTCTGACCTTGTCTCAGGTACTCCCTTGCAGCATGCTGCTGTGTGCCCACTGTCGAAGCAGGCCTCAGGAGCCCCAACCCTGCCTGCCATCTCTTACAACCAGAGGCACCCATGCATGGCAGCAGTGACTAAGAACAGGTTCATGTATAAGAATGTCTCAAAGTGGGGCCCTTGTTGAGCCAGCCCTGGAGTGCATTGGCTCTGTTTAGAACCACCCACATCATACCCAACTCAACCCTGACTTGGGTCCAGGCCCCCGCCCCCCACCCCCGTGTCGGCTGCAGTGGGGCCCGACTACCACTTTGGCTGCCATGACTGTCATGGTTGTGTGGTACTTGTGTGGCAGTGCTGGTCTGGAGCATTTAGATCTTTGGGGACCTGGAATCCCCTATCCTTTGGAGCTGCATCACCCGTATCCTTTTTGGCCCCACAGATTATCCCACCCAAGGAGTGGAAGCCACGGCAGACGTATGACGACATTGATGATGTGGTCATCCCAGCACCCATACAGCAGGTGGTGACGGGGCAGTCGGGGCTTTTCACACAGTACAACATCCAGAAGAAGGCCATGACCGTGGGCGAATACCGCCGCCTGGCCAACAGTGAAAAGTATGTGGGCACGAGCCATCTTCCCACTCCTCACCACTTCCTGGAGGCCCAACTTGGGCTGTAGGCCCTCAGCCCCTCCTTGTCTTCCCTCATCCCAGTGTATGGCCTGAAGTTGGCCCTCCAGTGGAGGTCCCCGTGATTCCTGCTCTGCGCATCCTGAGACCTACAGTCATAGCATGTGCAGACACATGGTCCCTGTGTTCTCTGCTCCAGCTTCCCCTGGTTCCTGAATCTCTGCCCCTGCTTGTCACAGGCAGCCTTGGTTCTGAGGTGGCTAAGGGTCTCATACTGCCCAGAGCACAGTCTGAGCTATTGTGCTATCCCCAGGTACTGCACCCCGCGCCATCAAGACTTTGATGACCTGGAACGAAAGTACTGGAAGAACCTGACCTTCGTCTCGCCCATCTATGGGGCTGACATTAGTGGCTCCCTATATGATGACGTAAGTGTCCATGGGCCTGACTACCATGTGGGCTGTAGGGAAGGGAGGAGAGTGACAGTGCCTCACAGCTCAGGACCACTCTGATTCCAGTGGCTCCCACCACCTCTATGTTCCTGGACACTACTTGGCAGGACTGTGCTGGCTTTTGGCCCAGACTGGTGTGCTGAACAGGAGGCTACAGCCTGATTTGATCTCAGTGATGGTGGGGAATACTTGGGCTCTGCCTCTTCTGACTCCTCTGTCTTGTGTCCTTGAGGTTTAAGCCACCTCAGTGGAAGCTGCTGAGGTGTGGAACTGGGAGCCCATGCCTTGACACTGTGGTTCCTACCATTCTTGGCCTAAATGGGAGGGCTGTCCTTTCTGGGCCTTCTGGTTTGGCTAATCTCTTTATGTCTCTTTGCTCTGCTGCCCAGACAACTGCATAGCAAACAAAGGCCTGGGTTTCCACCAGCCAGCTCCAAATTGGGAACCCGCCTATTTTGTTAGCTTTGGGGCAAAGGGAGGCAGCAAACAGCAGCTTTTGTGAGCCAAGCTGGTGAGACTCTTTACTCAATAACCATTCAGAGGCTTATATTAATTATAGAATAATGATATGTTTGGCCAATGGCTCAGGCTTATTACTAGCTAACTCTTACATTTAAATTAACCCTTATTTCTTATCTATGCTTTGCCACATGGTTCGTGGCTTGTTTCCTCATTTTCTACAAGTCTTGCTTTCTTAGCAGCTGTCTGGTGTCTCCTTGACTCCACCCTTCTTCACATGTATCTCTGCTTCAGTTTCCTGCCTGGCTCCATCTTATCTTTCTGTAGGCCAAGTAGCTTTATTTATTAACCAGTGAGAGCAACACATATTCACAGCGTACAGAAAGACCACACAACAGGTGGCTTCTTTTTCCTTCTTCCTGAGCGAGGATCTCATGGAGCCCAGGTTGGATTTGAATTTGCTAGGACCTTGGACTCCTTACTCTCCTGTTCCACCTCCTGAATGTCAGTGTACTGTGTCCTGTTCACATTGTCCAGCACTGCAACCGACATGATCAAAGCCTCTGCACTCTGGTGGGGGAGTGTGGGGGTGTCTTGGTGTCTTGATCTGCTTTATCCACTGCAGGTCCCTAGCAACTTTACAGGTGGCAGTCAGGTCTCGGGTCTGTGCTGTGTGTTCTCTTCTCTTGGTTTTGGGCTCCCTGTCCTCTAGCAGGTGTCATTTTGTTGTCTGTGCTCCTGGGGCAGTGCTATGTGAAATCAGAGTCTGGGCTTAGCCTAGCAAGATGTTCCAGGCATGTCCCTGCACCCCATCTCCTGTCAGCCAGTGTGCCGACTTTATGGAGGGCTCTGGCCACACACAGGCTTCAGCTGCCAAGGCCCATCCCTGAGCCACATCTACCACAGGCCCCCTGGAAGCTTGTAGCTTTGACCTGCCTCACCTGAAGTAGTACAGAATCTGTTACAGATGGGGAAACTGAGATCCAGAGCAGAGGACTTTTGACCCAGCCATGAGATGAATTCTCTGCATGAGGCTATAACTGGGTCCCTTTCTTGTAGCCCATGACATGACCCACATGGTCACTGTGCTGGGTGGCAGGCAAGACAACAAGGCCATTATATGCTTGGTGACCTGTTGCCATTATGCTACCGTGACCTCAGCAGCCTCTGTCCTCCAGACTTGGGCCTTCAGCCTCCTGGCAGGGGAGTGGTCACCGCTGGGGTCAGCATGTGTTGAGATGCTGAGATTGCACCCTGCTGGCTCTGAGATGAGGAGAGGTCTCAGACACAGGCACACGAGGCTCCTGCCCCACCTTAGCTCCCGCTAGCGTTTGATGAGAGCACAGGTCAGGGTTGGGGCTTCATACATGTTTGCCTATATTCTTTGAAGCTGTCTGATCTTGTTTGGTGGAAGGTTCTGGAAGGGCTGTCATTTGGACATAGGTTCACATGCCTGTGAAGGGATCACTCACATGGAGACTGCCTTTCTCTTTCTGTGTTACGTAGAGGTGTGGAGATCACTGCCAAGCTATAGTTGTCCATTGGCACATGATGGTTTGTAGACTGTTGCCTGTAACATGCTATTCCAGGAAGGCTGGGGTGGCAGGTGAGAGTGCAGGGCCCATGACCCTGGTCCCCTTGGCCTCTTGGGATGACCAGTTGGAGCCTGGGGATCTGGTGCTGACTTATCTCGGTAGCCCCGTTCTACCCCAGGTGACTGCACTCAGGGTGCAGGTGAGCACAGGTAACCTGGGAGGACTCTGCTGACCACATACTTGCTGTCCACAGGATGTGGCCCAGTGGAACATTGGTAACCTGAGGACCATCTTGGATATGGTAGAACGTGAGTGTGGCACCATCATTGAGGGCGTGAACACACCCTACCTGTACTTTGGCATGTGGAAGACCACTTTTGCCTGGCACACAGAGGACATGGACCTCTACAGCATCAACTACCTGCACTTCGGCGAGCCCAAGTCCTGGTGAGTGCCAGGGTGTGAGGCATGGGAAGATCTGGCTACTCTGACAGGTTACTGTGGTGCACCTCCTGCTCACCCTTCAGTCTTGGGGGAGATGTGCTGGTCCAAGGCCATGGCCTTGGTGGTTAACAGGTACCCACCTGCAATCCTGTCATTCTGGGCAGCAAACAGGCCAATGGGTATGTCACCTGCTGCCACATCACAGGGGTCAATTCCTACTTTACCTGGAGGCTGTGTGAGGTGCCAGCTTGCCAACAGTGCCCCATCTCTTTCTCTCTCTCTCAATCTCTCTCTCTTTCTCTCTCTTTCAGTCTCCCTTTGGCTGCCAGGCTATCCCAGGCCAGGCTCCCATCTGTCTCCCCTTGAGCTCAGCTTACTTGTGGACGGGAAGAATGCCCTCCCCCACTCCTGGTTATGCTGAGCGGGGAGGGCAATGCTGAGGGCGGGGGATGTCTGTGGTCCCCACTGAAGGCAGGTTCCAGTAGCTGGCTGTCCTGCTGCTATTTCTGTCACTGTGGAAAGCCACTTGGGGTCTTCTTTATGTTGCTCAGTTATGGACAGGGCTGTATGCTGAGCTGTGAAAGGCCACACCAAGAGTACCCTCTTTTTGGGTGTCTCTGCACTCAAACCCTAGGCACATAGTCCTCCCTGCTCCAGTGGAGTCAATGCTTGGCTCTGGACAACTCTCCTTCCCTGGAGGGCACAGCTGTGTTGGTATGTGTGCCTCCCAGGTGGACCCTGTAGCCAGCCATTGTCCTACAGCTTCCTGGCTGACGGCCAAGCTGGGCTGAACTCCCACTGTTTAGGAAAGTGAATCCCAACCAGGCAGTGGTGGCAAACACCTTAATCCCAGCACTTGGGATGTAGAGGCAGTCAGATATCTGTGAGTTCAAGGCCAGCCTGGTCTATAGAGGTGGAAAGTGAACCCCAAATATTCTGACATTCTCATACCTTGTGGGTCCCACCACTGTTCCCTCACAGTGTCAGAACTGAGAAATCCCTGAAGTGTTGTGTCTGCTACTTCTTGCTTCCCTGCGGCCTTAGGGAGCCCTGCACTCCGCTGTCCCAGTGTCAGAGACCCTGTGTTCCCTGACCTGGGGCGCGACCCTTGCGCCCCCTTCAGAGCTGGTTGTCAGGAGTCTCCAAGTCTCTGCCTCTGACCATGCTGCCGCCCTCTGAGGACTCTGTGGTGACACTGGTGATCACCTGGGAGGTGACTTCCCACAGAGCTGGGAGAAGGTCAGGGGTGCGTGGGCAGCACTCTGTCAGCCAAGGCTCTCAGCTGCTTTTCCTGTTGCAACAAAAATCCTCTGACAAAGGCAGCTAGCAAGAAGAAGGGTTTGCCTTGGCTCCGTCATCTTGCAGGGAAGATACTGAGGCAGTTGGCCACATGACAGGAAGGGGACCAGATGGATGCTAGTACAGCTCCTTCTCCTTGTATTTGATCCAGGATCCCAGCCCAGGGAATGGTGCCACCCACAGTAGAACGAGTCTTGCCTCCTGAAGGCCCGTCTCATGCTCTGGAGCCTGTCCATTCAACAGTTAACACTGCCCGGTACACTGGTCCTGTGGGCTCCTGCTGGGGTGTCTGAGTTATGCACACCACCCATTTCTATAAGTTCAGTTGACGAGGTCCCTGTCTGTGGAAGTCTGGTGTGACAGCGATGGGCTGAATGGCATCTCATGAGCAGCCTAGGCTGTACCCTCAACCTCCAGTGTGACTCCTGGCTTTTGGTGGCACCATCCTCTGTGTACACCTGTCCAGCTAGGTGACTTCTCCCATAGTGCCCTGCTGCCACCTGTGTGGAGCCAGCTGTGGCAGCTGTCACCTGGGCCACTAGGATCCCCTGAGAAGTGCTGTGGCAGCAACAAGGGCCAGTGGCCTGCTCCTCGTGGCTACATTGTCCAGCAGGGCTCATGACACCCACAGATACAAACAGCCCATGGCTGCTTCTGCTGCAAATCTCCACATGTGCACAGCAGTTGCCTGTATGCGCATGTGTGGTGGGTTTGTTTTTGTGTGAGTGTGTAACTGGGATATGCTGGGACAGAGGACCTGAGCCCGAGTCCTGATTCTTGTGGCCACAAGGTGGCACTCCTGCCTTTCTGACAAGCGGCTGTTCCCTGGCTCCCCTTCCCCAGCTGCTGTGTTTGGGGATGGGGAGACAGCCCCACTTTCTTCCTTGGAAAATAAGATTGAAGAGTAATAGCTGCAGGCAAGCCAGGGCTGCATGGTTAAGCTACAGTTCAGCTGAACAGAAAGAGAGAGAGAAACCAGGCGTGAGAAACCCTGGCGTGAGAGTCTGAGAATGAGACCTGGCCAGCACCCACTGCTTAGCTTCAGAGACCCGAGAGCTGCCAGGAGCCACCAGAGTGGCCTTTAAGTGGGAGCCAGCCCCAGAGAGGCAGGCTGGTGGGCCAGCTCTGGGCCTGTATGAGACTAGAATGTCCCTAGTATTGGGAAGCACCTTGGCAAGGACAGAGAACCATGCTGTCTGAGGGTGGTGCTAGTCTGTGCATGGCCACATGGCCCTGCAGCTTGTGAGGCCTGGGGCTCCCTGGAAGATGACAGCTGCTCACAGATGACTGTTGGTGGCAGGAATCCATGCAGTGTGCCTTAGGTGACTTGGCTGGCCCACCTGTCCCAACAGTCACTCATGATGCACTGGGTGCAGGTTCAGCCACCCCAGCTTCCTGTGTTCTGCTATGGCTGGGGGTGGACATCAGGGCTAATAGTGAACACAATGGCCACTTGTTTGGGGACAGAAAGCTCCGGCAAAGCCTCAGCCTTGGTCTTGGTGCGGGAGGCCCTGTCACCTCTTCCATGGCAGGGAGGGGCCTTAGTTAGTTCTCTGTTGCAGCGATAGACACCATGACCCAAAGCAGCTTGGAAGAGCTGACTTGGCTTATATATTCCGGTGACGCTCCATCATGGCGGGAAGTCAGGACAGGAGCTGATGCGGAGGCCATGGAGGGTGCTGCTTAGCCTGCTTTCTTTTTTCTTTTTCTTTTTTTCTTTTCTTTTCTTTTCTTTTTTTTTTTTTTTGAGACAAGGTTTCTCTGTATAGCTTTGGAGCCTGTCCAGGAACTTGCTCTGTAGACTAGGCTGGCCTCAAACTCAGAGACCCACCTGGCTCTGCCTCCAGAATGCTGGGATTAAAGCTGTGTGCCACCACCACCCGGCTCAGCCTGCTTTCTTATAAAACCCAGGAGTAACAGCCCAGGGTCACTCCCCACCCCCCCGGGGGAGCTGGGTTCTCCCATTTTAGTCATAATCAGAACACTACTCTACTCTATAGGCCGGTCTGGTAGGAGCGTTTTCTCTGTGAGGTTAGCTCTTCTGGGCACTCTAGATCTGTTGCATTGGCAACTGACCATGGAAGGATGACCATGTGTCCTTGGGGACACACAGACCATGTATGAGTTTTACCTGGGTTCTCCCCACCGTGCTATGGGCCCCAGAAAGTAGGTTTTCACATATGCCTCTGTCCACAGCTCCAGCAGGGACCTCAAGGGGGTCAGTGCCACTCAAGTCCTTGTTATATCACTGGAGTGATATACATGTGGGTACTGCTCCCTGGATGTGGCTTAAAACTGGAGAGTCCCCACTGCTGAGTCCTCTTGTCTCCCCCAGTTGTGTGACCAGAGACTTTTCCCGAGGAGCTGCAGCACACAGGGACACTCACCAGGTAGGGAGCCCACAGCAGACTGAGTACAGACACCACCCAAGTCCCACTTGGTGGACCATGAGCTTTCCTGGGGTCACTGACAGGCCTGTGGGTGAGGAGAGGCAGCTGCATCCCCAAGGCCACCCCAGCGTGGGTGACAGCGCACAGAGCTGGACACCTGGAGCACACTGCACACCCTGCAGGCCACAGCAAGCTGGAGAGCATCCTTTGCAGATGCCTCAGCTGCTCTGAGCCTCCTCCTGGCAGCTTGGATGACTCGCAGCATTTATTGCTCACTCTGATGAGGAGGGGCCTGGTAAAACTGGTGGGTTTCAGGGTTGTCCTGAAGCTGTTTTGAGTTGCTTACCTTCCTGTTTAAAGAGCTTCCCTGTAGGGTGGAGTGCTTCAATCTCAGGAAACTATTACATCCCGTCTCCCCCATCATAGCCCCTGCTGTGGGCTGTGTCTGCTGTGCTTCAGTGCCGTGATGGCTTGAGGTGCGTGAGGGTATTCGCAGCCCCAGCATTTTCTGAAGCTTTTTGGGTCTGTGGCTACTTTGGCTGATGTGATCAGGGTCAAAGGATTTTGAAGGTAGGAGTGTGTGCTGCCCTGGCAGGCCGGATAGAGAACACTAGGCTCTGCTCGGTCGCCCAGAAACTGTTATGACAGGTGGAGGTGGCACTTGCAGGAGGAATGGGTTCTCATGCTTTCTACAGAAAGCTGCGTCTGTACTGGGGTCTCTGTGGAGTAGGCACAGAGGTGTGGCTGCCGTGTGGCCTCCAAGGACATTGCCTTGCATGGGAAGTGAGGAGTCTGTACTTACAGGGCCCCCGATGGCGTCTTCCCCTCCTCCCTGCCTAATGTATAACCTGGCCACTGGTTAGTCAGACCCTGGGCCCTAGCCTAGGAAGATGCATCACCACCTAAGAACACAAGTGACAATTGCACCTGCAAGGGACCTATCCTGGCTTGAATCTGTGCCAGCCTGTGAGGTACTAGCTTCTGAGTGTCTTGCTGTCCCAGTCCTCAGGAACCACAGATGGTCCTGCACCTCACCCAAGGCATGACCCTCTGCAGGGGTCTTCTTGGCCACCAGGTTCTTCTAATGGTCCAGACATTAGGAGGCAACTCAGCTTGCAATGGTTGTTTCTCATCTAGCTTGCATCCCGTGGCCGCTCCCTCATCCTGTCCCCCCTGTGTGGTGCCTGTGAGGTAGATGCTCTCACTTATCTACCACTCTTGTAGCACTTGGGAGAGCTGGGTGCCCCATCATGTCTGTCTGACTAACTCAGTGGGGAAATGTAAGGTTACGGCTTCCACCTGAAGCTGGTGGCT